AAAAAGTGAATAAAAAATATTGTGGATAAAATACTGCTCCGTGCCTCAGTAAATACTTGATTATAAAGTGGGTCATTTGGAAGGCAAGTGTGGTTGAATTTTGTGTTGTTGTTTAAATTTGTGTTGTTACCACACAGGTTTGAAACAAGCTACCTAGAGTTCCATGCTGTTAACTGGGAAATGATCAGATTGCAAATGGAAATAAAGTAAAGCTTAAAATATAAACCTCTAAGGGCTGAAGAGATGGCTCAGCAGTTAGGAGCAGTTGCCCCACAGAGAGAGGGTGTGGCGCCCACAGGGCAGCTCACAGACACTGTAACTCCAGCTCCAGGGCATCTGACGCCCTCTTCTGGACTCTGGGGGCACTGCATATGCATGTGATAAACAGACATGAGCAGACAAAACATCCATAGAAGTAATATGTATAGATACATTTATGTTCATATACGTATATATATACACATTAATGTATATATTAATGTATATATTAATTAATGTATATATTAATATATACATTAATGTATATATACACATATATTAATGTATATATGTTCTTCTCTGCCATGTTTTCCATGAATTCCCACTCACTCACTTTCTCCCTCTGTGGAGGAAGAAAGAGGCAATTCTGCTACTTTTAGTTGCCTTTTCTAGTTGAGTTGAGTAACAAGTATCTATGTAGTGGCTCCATGCTGGAAATGGTCACCTGTCTTTGCTCCTCTGCAGACAAACCTCAGTGTGTGTAAGCCTTGTCTGTGTTTCCCCAGAGAAGTCTTCACAGAGCCCCATCACTGGATTTACACCACTGAAAGCCGTTGGCTCAATGGGGATTTCTTACATCAACCACACGGGTTGTTTGTGGTTGGAGGTGGAAGGTAGAAAGAACGTTCCAGAAGGCCATCGGTCCCTCCTTGCTTCCCGTTGGCAATAGTCGCCTTCCTTCCTTCCTTCCTTCCTTCCTTCCTTCCTTCCTTCCTTCCTTCCTTCCTTCCCTCCCTCCCTCCACCCCATCTCAGAAGGCTGGTTTGTCAGCTTGACAGGTGAATAGAGATTTCCAGCTTAATGGAATGTTTCCCTTGCTTGTGTTTTTGTTTTGAGACACAGTCTTATGTAGTCCAGGCTGGACTCAAACTCACTATGACACCGAGGATGACTCGTATCTCGGATCCTCCTGCCTTCCATCTTCTTGGTGCTGGGGTTCAGCCTTGTGCCACCCCAGTGCTAGGAATGGAACCCAGGGCCTCAGATAACACTAGGTAACACTCTCCGAACTGAGCTGCAGCCCCAGCTCTGGCTCTGGTTTTCAGCATCAGTATACTCTGGGGCTGCACCTAGGGACACAGAAATGAGCTCATTCTTACCTAGGGCTTGAAATGGAATGTGAGTTTTGCAGCTGGTATAGAGTTGACACACATACTGACAGCGTAGAGGACAGCGAGGGCTTACAGGAGGCACCTCTGCCACACACAGTCCTCTAGACCGATAATTGCATTTCACAATTATCCGAGGGGAAGAAAAGCAGCATTAAAAACTGCCTCAAACTACCACAAACTTGTAACCCGCTGTCTAGAACAGATATGTTGTGTATTTCACAAACTTTCCCAAGAGCAAGAAAAGCTTTTAGTGCTGCTGAAAATGGAAAGCAGACTTCCTAAGAACTGGCTCATGTTATGCAAAGAAAACATACACACACACAACACACACACACAGACACACACATTTTTACTCATCTTTTAAGATAACGCTTTCCAAATTCTCCTCTCAGCCATTTTAATCGTCACTTGCCTCTTTATTTCCTGTCCCAATTTATCAACAGTTTTTGCACTTGGGAACTTTTTGCTCATTTATTTGTGTGAGGTTTTTTGTTTGTTTGTTTTTTGAGACGGAGTCTTGTGCAGTCCAGGCTGGCCTCCTGCTCGCTCTGTGGCAGAGGATAACCTTGAACGCCCACTTCTCCTGCCTTCAGCTCCCACACACTTCGACTGCAGACGTGTGTCATCACATCCCTTTATTTTCTCAGTTTGGAGTTAGCCTTCTCGGCGGATGAGCGCTCCTGAGCACAGTGCTGGCAGGAAGGAGAGCAGGAAGTGAAAACAGCAGGCTTGCTCTTCAGATGTGTGGCCTGCGTGACCTGAGGGTTCAGTGCTGGCATCCCTTCAGAACGTCCACGAGGGCTGGTGAGAGGGCTCAGCAAGTCAAGGTGCTTGCTGCCAAACCTGATGACCAGAGATGGGACTCAGGGACACCACGAGGTGGAAAGAGAAAATCCGTTCCAACAGGTTGTCCTCCGACTTACACACATGAACACACACACACTGAATAAGCAAACGAAAAACACAAGCATAATGAAAAGCTTAGGGGGTACAAAGAAACTCCCTAGATGAAACGCTAAGAATAGGACTGCCAACCACCTTTCTCTTCTTGTGCAAGGTTCGTGTTTAAATAACCAATACAGAACTTGAATACATTTATAAACAAAAAGAGGCATCTTTAAATCTTAAGGAGCCGTTCCTGGCAACCGTCGCTCATGCTCGGGCCTGCCCTCTGCCACAGAGATAGCCCTGGAAGGCCCGTGGGGGGTAACAGAAACCCAGTGTTTAGTGTTTTCTTTTATAAGCAGGAAGGCCAGATTTCCATTATAGGATCATTTTGTGCACGTGCGATGAAATCTATTAAATGTTTATCATAGAACCCTGGTTCAGTTGGGGAGAGAGAGAGAGAGAGAGAGGGAAAAAAAAAGCCCCATCCCTGCCAACCAGTTTGTTTGTGTGAATCACGCTCAGTCAGCTTTCAGGCCTATAATTTATCTTTTCTTTGGCCTATGTGGTAAATGCCCCGCTTGTCCATGAATTCTTGCCTTGTTTTAATTATGCTATGGTCTGAATGTAGTTTTATAAGGCACACAAATAAGATTGTCATTCTGAAAACACAGATTTGTGTGTCCCGGCCCACCGCCCCAGGAGGAGATGGGGGAGGGGACAGTTATCTCTGTCTTAATTCACAGCTTGTGGGGTTGTGGCTGGAATTCCAAACCCAGCTAGGAGCACGCAGCGGCAGTGCGGGGGTGGAGACGAAGAACGGTGGGGGATGGGACAGAGAGGGATAGCTGACGTGGCAAAACCCAAGGCATAATTTACCCTAAGAATTCTGAATCGATACATCCAGGGTTGAACTTTGCATTGTGGCGGCGCTAGCTCCGAGAATGCTATTGACCGGGAAGCTCTATTCATTTCTTTTCTGAGGGCTGTATTTTGTCACTGTACTTAAAAAACAATTGGTTATCCTCTAAACACAGAAGCAGGCCATAGGGGCCGGAGGAGAAACCTTTACAAATCACAGGGCTACTTTTTTTTTTCCTTGCGCATCTATGCATTCAAATACAGACATATTTGTAGGCTGAAGGAGAAATGGTTATCTCATAGCGTGTAAATATTACTCAATATTTCAAATTTCAGTGATACGACCAACCAAAAAAAAAAAAAAAAAAAAAAAAAAAAGGAAATTTGAAGTGTAACACGATTCAGCGCACACTTTTCCTTTGCAAGTGTAAGTGAGAGAGGTCTTTTATCCGGGAAGAAAGACATGTTTATAACTGGGAGCTGGTTACTCTGAAAGATGATTTGGACTCCAAACGCCTCCCCATCCTCCTTCCCCGGACTGGACTGCATTTGCTATGTCTCTAACGCAGATTGCGTCTCGAAGCCAGTCTCACTTGGGCAACTGCTCAGTTAAATCTAGCTGCCGTCTCTGAGGGTGTCCCTCCGCCCTGCCCGGCAGAGGACAGCCAGCTTTGCAAAGCACCGCTTCAAAACTGTTTTACCACCGAGTTCCCTGAGAGCAAGAGTGAGCGGAGTGTGCTGGGGTTTGTGAGCTAGCTGGCAGAGGCTGGTTCAATTTGTTTAATTAAGAACGAGGGTTTGGCCGAGTCACCAGGCAACCGTGCAAAGACGGGCAGAGCGTAGCTCTTCATTGTCTCCCCATAAATGACTCTTATTATTTTTTTTTCCTAATTCGGGAGATAGATTCCTACACCTTAAAAACCTATGACTGTTAAAAAAAAGTCACCACCTGAGAGTGGTTCTAGATACCCACGGATAATGAGGCCAACGCAGCCAGAGTGTCCCGGCTCAGGCAAAGTGTGTCAACAGTTTCCCACAATCATTATGACTATCGGTAACCAGTTCATAGCCCCCGGAAGAGAAGCTTAGGGCTCCTGGCTTGTGCCTATGTTAGGATGTTTTCTGTGGCAAGGCAATCCCCACATGGCGCTCGCTGGACTGTATGTCAAACTAGTCCAGTTTGGGAGTAGACGTGTGAACACACATTTGAAAATAAGCTCCGGAGTCCAAATTTGTGGGTGTAGGAAGAATATGGATAACAAGAAAGGCTTCAGCCTACTAGTCTTACTTTTTTTTTCCAATTTCAGCTGTCTAGTGATTTTGGCTGGAATCTAATAGTCACAGTATAATTCTTTTCTTTTCTTTTCTTTTCTTTTCTTTTCTTTTCTTTTCTTTTCAGATAGGGTCTCAAAGTAGCGTTAAGTAGCCAAGAATGACCTTGTGCTTCAGGTTTCCTTGTTTCTGCCTCCTTAGTGCTGGGGTTAGAGGCCTGAGCCTCCAGGCTGGGTATATGAGTAATGAGGATCAAACCCAGGGCTCTAAGTATGCTGGACGAGCACTCAGTGAATACATCTCCAGCCTGGTATTCAGGCTTGGTACAAGACATTTCCTTCCCCTAGTGCCTTTTTTTCTGGGCTCATAAACATAGGCCCCGTGCCCTCGGCTCGGATAAGGAGGCCAGATTCGTCTCTGCTTAAGTTACCTACCGTTACCTACTGTTTGATGTTTTACATAAAACAGAGCCAACAGAGGTTCTGGTCTTCAGATGTTTCTGTCTACACAAAACATACAGGAGAGGCTAAGCTTACCTTGTCTAGGACCTTTGGTGACATGCAGTGGTCTCGCCCCATTGGAGAGGAAGCAGATGGCTTCTCACACACTTACCTCCCCTGCAGGGACAGCCTGGGAATTCCCTGGCACAGCAGGAGCCTCTGTGGCCTGGACTTGATCTTCGACCCCTTTGGCTTCTTCAGGCTGGCTGTCCGCGGGCACACTCTCTCTTCCCCTGTCCAGCTTAAAGAATCTGTTCAAAAAGCTGAAATCCTTAGGCCTGGAGGGGGCTTCTGCCCGGGACTCAGGTGGTGAAGGTGCTGGTGGGCAGGTGGCAGGGAGGCCCGGCTGCTTGGCCTCCGTGCACCCTGGGGTTTTATCAGCAGCCGGCCCTGGTGCAGCTGCCATCGGAAGTGCCCCGTGCTCACTTGGGTCTTTGTTCACAGGCGCTGTGCCGGGGCTGACATCAAGCCTCCCCGCAGCAGCCGATGAATCCGTGCCTTGGTCCCCGGGACGTCCTGGTACAGGCCGAGAGAGTGTCAAGAAAAAACGCGATCTAGCAGCTGGTGCCTCGGGCTTGGCTTCTTTCCCAAGATTCTTTCCGTTGGCATCGGCCACAGCATGGGCCTCCATTGTCTTGGGGGAAGAAGTAGCCACATTATCCTTCGAGATGCTTATGCCCAAATCGACTGTAAACACAAACATAAACACTGGTCATTCAACAAGCCAGGAAATTCAAGGGTGAATAATGGACTACAGCTTTCGATACACAAGGTCCCCTCTGCAGACTGGGGCGGCCTTGTTCCCTGCTGTTAGCTCAGTGGACATCTGACCCTGCTCTTCCTGGGAGAGAGACCCCTCGAAGGCTGATGAGGCAGAAGAGCCAATGGCTGGGAAGTCACTACCTGCTAGGCCCTGTGTGAGTGACACTCAATGTCCTCTGTCATCTTTTATCTCCCTAAAACCCAGAGAAATGTAGAGTTAAGATTTTCCGGTAGAGCTGGACATGGTGACACTTGCCTAAAATCCCAGCATTTGGGGAGGCAGGGCAGGCAGATCTCTGTGAGTTCGAGGCCAGCCTGGTCTACAAAGTCCAGGACAGCCAAGGCTACACAGAGGAACCCTGTCACAGAAAACAAAAACAAAGCTAAACAAACAACGTTTCCATTAGGGAAACAGAGTGGCGCCCTCAGCACTACAGAGTGAGGCTATTGCTGGCAGGGAGTGGTGGTGCTCGACTTTAATCCCAGCATCATGGAGACAGAGGCAGGAGGATCACGGTGAGTTCCAGGCCAGCCAGAGCAACACAGTGACACCTTGTCTCCAAAACAAATGAAAAGGTCCTTTTGAATCCAAGCGACTTAATTTTTCTTTGCCTTTACTCTCTGGTAAAAATGAAGAAAAGGTAGAAGCCCCCTTCACCATTTTCTCAGGAGATGACACTAGTGACTGTTTCAAGTATACAGAAAAGTAGGTGAGTCATACTCAATACACGTCATGAAATTTGGATCTTGTCACCACCAACGAGGGAGAACATTTTTACTGGAGCTGGAGCCACCTTCCCCCCAGTCCCCAGGGAGAAGCCAGCTTCTGAGTCCAGGCTCTTTCTGTCCTAACGTCAGACATCCGTTAGCATAGATTCTGGGGAAAACCCAAGACTGAAACAGTAGTACTTAGAAAGCTGGCACTCTGGAGCCTTGAAGGGCACAGGCGTGTACGGGAAGGCTAGGGCAGCAGTAGAGATGTGGCCAGCTCTTGCGTTCTGAGTGCGTGTGTAGCCTCCATGGTCCCAAACACCCACCCCTTCCTGCCTGGAACCCATCGAATTGCCTCCTTTTCGAGGTCCTTTGATAGCAAAGCTGTGTGGAAGAATCATATTTGATTCTGCAGCTCCTCAACTGACAAGCTCTGAGGGCCTGGGCAAAGCCCTCCCGAGCTTGAGCGTTCCTCATTTATAAAATGGGAGTGCTGGGTGGTGGAGATGGCTCATCCAGGAATGCACACGCCTCTCAAGCATTAGGACCCGAGTTCCATCCCCGGAACCCATGTAGAAACCCTGTCTCATAAAAATTAAGAAAAAAAAAAGTGTATGGATAGTGTCTGGCCTCCACCTCACGCATTTCTGTGTACATATTAACCTGAACCCATGAACATCTGCATACACACAAGCATGTGTGTGTGCACACATGTTCACACATGAAGTAGAATAATTCCCCGGTATGGGTGCTTTGATGCGCCAGGGGAAGCTCACCCAGGGCTTGGCCTGATGCTGTTCCCTGCCAGCAGGTACTTGATGACTGACTGATACTACGATAATGTTGAAGGCTTCTCTCCATCCTAGCCAAATCTGCATTTTGTTTAGTACAGATTTAGACAGACTCATCTTGGTGTCTGTTTGCAAGAGGTCAACAAGCAGGAAAACCCAGGGGGAGGACTGGAGATTTCTTTGTTCTGTTTCCATCATGCATGCTTATCCACAGTGGCTCTGCCAAACTCTAGTACCTGACATTGTCTGGAGCCAGGAACAAGCAGATGAGGAGAGCTGTCTTCTTGTGTGCCTTGACAACCTCTTAGTAACCCAGAGGGCAGAGAAGTGACACAAGATGAGGCCAGCGATGGAACTATAGAGGCTTCATAAAGGAGGCCCCCGTCAGTGCACTGGCTAACCCAGCTAGCTCTCCTTCACTTTTCTCCTGGGCTCCGGGAATACTGGAGGCTAGCCTGCACACTACAGGAGGGGGGGAATGAGAGAGGAAGGGGTGAGAGGCAGGCAGAGCAGGTACCAAACAAGCAAGGGATGCCTTTGTCTTGTCAGAGTGAACAGAAATGGATTGTGTGGATCTGGTTCACGTCAGAGGGACAGGAAACAGTTGACAAAAAGGGAAAGGCTGGAATCAAAACCAAAGAGAGGCCTTTGCAAACCCCCGAGAGCATAGATTGATTTCCCCTCTTCACATCCTGGCTGGGAACCAAAGGAGAGAACAGGTGTTACAGCCCAGAGAAAAACAACACAACACTTTCCATGAGGGGAAAAAAAAAAGTGCCAGTATTTTGCCTTGAAAAGGCTCCATGCCGAATATGACATAACACATATAAAGCCAACAACAGGAGGAACCAAGAGCCCTGAAGCCAGAGATCAGGTAAAGCCACGCAGTGATTTGTAAGAACTCGAAGTTCTGAGTGGGTTCCTTAGTGACAACTGAAGCTACGTTGTAAGCTGGGTGGGTCACACTGCTAGCGGAGTTGTCAGGGTCAGAGCTTGGGCTCTGGAAGCCTGACGAGCCAGGCTTGGCCAACCATCCTCAACAGGAAGATTAAAGGACAATGAGTAGTGAAAAGCAGAGATCGGATGCTGGGAAGAAGAACAAATAAAGGGGTCCAGTGGTACTCTCCCTCCCCACGTTTCCAGAGCCCAGCCTTTTATGTTCACTACTGTTTATTTTATGAAATTGGCGCATGCATATTTCTAACTGTTACATCTTCTCGGTGAATTGATTTGTTTCTTTATTGATATGTAATGGTCTCTTCTATTTTTTGGTTCAAAGTCGACTTTCACGGATACTGGGTCACCTACGGCAGTTTGCTTTTCTGGTTCCCTTTTGCTGTATAGGCTGTTCTTTATCCTCTGCCTCTCAGACTGTGGGGGCTTTACTAGTGCAATGTGTTTCATAGACACGGCACACTGCTGGTTCTAGCTTTGTCTTCTAGCCCGTCTCTTTATGGATGGATAGAGACCATTTATTTAGAGTTACAGTTATCATAACCTCATTGTCCATCTCTGCATTTCTTCTGCTTAGTGGGATCCACTGGTGATTATTTCCACTGTGTGAGCATTTTTTTAAAAAATATTATCCATTAAATTTTCTATTTCTAACATTTCTATTTACTTTTTTAAAACCTCAATTCCTTTGCCGATGTTTTCCTGTGTTGCTGAGTTTTCCACTCAAACTGCTAATTTTCTCATCCGTTTTTTGCTAACTGTTTCTCTTTGTTGTAGACTTTCTTCTCCTGGGCCTGGACTGAATTCAGCTGCTTCTCTGTATGTTCTTTCAGGTCATCAATCATCTTTAAAAGAAAGCTTTTGAGATCTTCCTGGCATTTTACCCGAGTCGGTGTCTTTGAGCTTAGGAGTCGGTAGTCCTGGCTTTTTAGAAGTCTTGTTGTCTTTATTCTCTTCCTTCCTTTCTTTCTGTTTTCATCTTTGTGTCACAATTTGTACCCCTGCTAGTTTGAGTTCTGCTTCTAGTTTTGGGGTGGCATGTCTCAGTAAGCCTTCTACTTCTTTATTATGGATGCAGGGACGGGGGGGGGCAGTGGTGGTAAGTGCCAGGACATGTGTAGAGGTCAGAGGACATTGTGCAGGACTTACTCTCTTCTTCCATCATGTGGGTTCCTGGAATTAAACTTAGGTCATCAGCTTGGTGGCAAGCACTTGCTATGCCGCCGTGCCGGCCCATAAACATTACCATAGGCACATATGGACGAGAAACACAGTGAGTCACAAATTCAGGACTGTCAAGATTTTAGGTAACCATGGGGGGGGGTCCTAGGGTGGCCCTCACATGGAAAGAGGGAAAGAGAGAACTATTAAAACTCCTTGTTTTCTCCCCACGATATATATATATATATATATATATATATATATATATATATATATATATATATATATACACACACACACATATATATGTGTGTGTGTGTGTGTATGTCTCCAGTGAACAGAGACTTCAGACGTCTGATTACAGCCCCAAATGTCTTTAGGAATGCCTGGTGAAGTCAGGTGACTCAGGTAAGGCAGAGAGCAGAGCCCCGGGTTCTGGGATGAAGCCTCACAAGCACTCAGGGGAAGATGTTGATGCTTACAGGACAGCCACATGATAAGAAGCTGATGGGGGCAGACTCTTCTTCTGAGACTTACTGTCCCAGTTCTCCCGGAAGTTTTCAATGGGAAAGCTGAGACTTCTCATCTTTGCTCTGCCAACAAAGCATCCATTTCTGAATGCCTTTTTCATCGGTCACGATGCTTGTTTGCCACACAAGTATCCTTTTTGTTTATATGTGTGATCTGTGTGTGGGATGGTGTGAGGTGTGTGGTATGTGGCATGTACATTTTCCAATGTGCATGCACATGTGTATGGGGGTACATGTGGGTATTCATACAGTGACCCTATTTCCTTACTTTGGAAATAGGGTCTCCCCCTGAACCTCGAACCTGTGAATTTGGCTACACCGATTATGTCCTGGGTCTCAAAGGTCCTCCTGTCTCCACACTGGGATTATAGATGTGCTGCTAGGTTTTGGTTTGTTTTGCAAAGTAAGTGTTGGGGAGCCAAACCCAAGTCCTCATGTTTGCATGGCGAGAACTTTACCGTCTCTCCAGCCCCTCCAACATCACTTTCTACACAACCTTGTCTTACTCGTTGTGTGATCTACCAGGATAAGTCACAAAGTGGACATACAGTGCTCGCAATCACAAAGGGGAGCTGTCATGAGTCCTACAGGTGCAACGGGAGTTTGCAGAATCACGGGAGTCAACATGGGTAAAATACTTGGATCAAGAACACAGCTACTGTTGTATCAGGATCCAAATGCAGACACAGGGCAAAGCAGTTCATTGCAGAGGGTGGGATGGATGTTGAGTTCTTCAAAAGATAATTCTACTTAAATATCAAAGGACTATGGGAAGCCC